TGATTCACAATCGGATCGGATACGGAGCTCGCAAACAGACAGGATACGGATCAATCCGAATAATGCACAGCTATTTACTGAAAACGGTTCGCGTGCGGTCCGTATGCGGTTCCGATTTCAACCGCGCGCGAACGCGAAGCGTCCGTAACGGACCCGTTCGCATTTTACTTGTGAAGGCGAGGGCGACAACTGTACGCAGAGTGGCATTAAGCGTTGTACACTGTTACGGTAGAATGCATTATCTGGCCCCAAAAATCCCCCGTAAAATCTCCTGTCCCCCCACCTTTAAACCGATGATTTTGATCCTTATTTCAAGTTACAGAAGTAGTTTTACTGTACTTATTCTTGTCAAAATTATCCCACGTCCTAGCTTCTACGACTGACCACAAACGCATTTTCTAACTTTCACTGTTTCTTGAAACATGTACTTTTTGTTTATTTTCATTCTAACTGTTCCAAAGCGTACAAATGCTGTACAGTACCGCCCAAAAGTATATCAACTTTTGGTTTTTCGACTGTAACTTTCTTCAAAATAGAGCTGAAGAGTCAAACGTTTCTGTAAAATGTAGCAAATAACCCGAGAAAAATAATGCAAAAACATTTCAAACCCGAAAACAGAGAAAAAAATTTAGCAACAAAATTCGCTTTTTGGAAAATTTTGATTTTTGGACGATTTTTTTCAAATTTCTTGAAAAAAAAGAAAACGATTATGTGTTTGGAATTTAAATTGAAAAACAATTAAAACATCAAACGTACCAAATATTGACAACTTTAAGTTGTGGAACGATAGTAGAAACTGTCCAGAAGCCGGAAATTTCTAGTTGACACTTCGAACGACCATATCGTATACAGAATTGTGTTTTTATGAGATATTATCTGCTCAAAAGTTGGCAAATGTCTCTTAAATCATGTTGAAATTTTAAATTCCAAACACATAATCGTGTTCTTTTTTTCAAGAAATTTGAAAAAAATCGTCCAAAAATCAAAATTTTCCAAAAAGCGAATTTTGTTGCTAAATTTTTTTCTCTGTTTTCGGGTTTGAAATGTTTTTGCATTATTTTTCTCGGGTTATTTGCTACATTTACAGGAAAGTTTGACTCTTCAGCTCTATTTTGAAGAAAGTTACAGTTGAAAAACCAAAAGTTTATATACTTTTGGGCGGTACTGTATATCAAAACATCTAAGGAAGTTCGTTGACAGATTTTTCAAAGTCAAAAATTTTCTTATAACGATTAACCCTGATAAGTGAAAACTTTTAACCGGAAAAAGAAAACCCACTTGAAAGCAAAATCGTAATTCAACAAAAATTAATCGAACTGAAATTGGCGAAACTTTTACTGTAAAAATATCAATAGGTTTATGAGTTACTTTAAACTTTATACCGTATACTTTATCCCAAATGTGCTCTCATTTCAATAAGCCTTGAACTAGCCTCCAAACTAACTTCTAACTTTAACTGTTTCTAGAAACTGACAAGTTTTCCTTAAATTTTCATAGACATTATCGTTTTTTTTGGCCGCCAAATCAACAAAATAAAAAATATCACTTACGAAAATAGCACGAAGTCCCCTCACAAAGCTTATCAATAGAACAATACTTCCCCTGCTCCGTGGAATTCGCATAACATTCGTAACAGATTACAGCGCCATCTGTCCCAATCAACAAGACAGATAATATTAAGAGAATTGGGATCATGAATTGAAAATTTGATGGGGATGGGTAACAAAACTTGGCCAACGTAACAAAAAAAGAACAGAAAGGATATAAAATAAGGATTATCCCAAAATCGATGACGGGATTAAAGGTTTTTGAACTTGTGTGGGAAATTCGAAAAAAATGGGAGAAGGTTTTGAGGGGAGTTTTATGAAGAACGAAAAGAAATATAAAAGTGGGAATTACTGAAGTATGCATTTTTTCGTAATGGGGTATGTGATCGGTGTTTACACCATTCACTCTTCTTTGTGGCTATTGTAACCGCAATGCTAATGAAACAAAAGGGAATTTGAAAAAAATCTTTTTCAATTAAGAAATTACATACACTTGCTGCAAACAACTCTGAAAACGTTCCAAAAGTTGGGAAAAGGGTATATCAGAATTTTTCCTTGCCGGAAATATGAACAATCATTTATTTAAACTCACATTAATTTTTATAACTTTTCAGTTCACTTTTTTAAAAAAATTTTTCAGAAGTGAACGACTGATAGATTGACAAATTACAATCAGATTAATTCATGATCGGAACAGAAAAAAGGTTCAATTGAACAAAAATTTCCCCAATTTTTAAATGATTCCTTAAGATGAAAAAAGTAAAAATTATGACCGAAATAGGCACGTTGTTGACCAGTTTTCAAAAAAAAGTTGGTTGAACATATATATATATGAGAAACGGTAAATTTCAAGTTTGAAGGTTTTTTTGGATATTGTGGAAAATTGATTTCTCTGATATTCTAACTAGGGAAGGTTGTAATCGGGAGGTGGAACTTCGGTATGAGACCTATATCCTTCGAAAGCTGAGAATGAGACATTTTCAAATCTGTATTCAGATTTTGCTAAAGAGCTACCAGTTTCGAGAAAATCAGGTTCAAAATCTGAGAAATTGCAAAAGCAAAGGGGGGACCCCATGGTGATTTTTTTTGCGAAAAATTTTTGACATTCGATGATTGGTGAAAGATCTTGGAGGTTTTTTGATTGCAGGGTTGCAATCTGACGGGCTGGCCGGCGGGCCGGCCGGAGGGAAAAAAACCAGGGCCCGGCCCGGCCCGGCCCGGCCGGCCGGCAATTAATTAATATTTGAACTTTTTTTTTGAATATTTGAACTTTTTTAAAACTTTTTTTAAAATTAATATTTGTAAATTAATATGAATTAATATTTGAATGATCGACTGTTCCTTGCTTCAAGTTTTAGCTACTTCAGGATTACAAGCTCTGGAACACTATTATTCCGAATTCGATGAATACCATCTTGCAGCTGTTTTCCTTGCTCCTGGTACGAAGTTGATGAAAAATTTTGATTTTGGAGAAACGGAAACGGTATAGTTTACAAACAAACTTGTTTATAAACTTTCCTATAACTTTCAGGTCCGTGATCTTGTCACAAAGTAAATGCCATCAGCTATTCCCTCCACTACTCAACCCACCTCATCGCAGAAGTCAAATCTAATTGCAAAGTTATATCATTCGGTCAGTGACCAAGCGAACTCAACATCCACTTCTTCGGAAATCTCAAGATATCTCTCCGAGTACTACGATCCTTCAACGAACGAATCGGTTGAGGAGTATTGGAAATGTTACTTTTCTATCTTTTTTGTTGGATTGGTTGATATGAGCTTTAATTTTCTCCTCCGGTTTCCATTTCTTTGTTTCCCCTTGTTCATTTATACGGTTTTTACATTGTTATGCTACTTGTTAAGAAATAAATTCAAATAATTCTTCAATAATTTCTGTTTTTTCTTAAATTCGAACGGGCCGAACCGGCCGAACCGGCCCGGCCCGGCCGGTTGCAACCCTGTTTGATTGTAGTTACAATTTCAAATGTTCCTCTACGATCTGACAAAGTTTTCTTGAATTTCAAGAAAAACAGTTTTTGAAGAAAAATATCCATTCTAAACAATTTCTAAACGGACAGAAACGGTAAAATGAGTCTTCTAGCAAGATCTTGAAGCTTTATCCTGCTCGGAATCGAGGGCTTTTAATGTTTTTTCGTACATCATACAATCCATATTCCTTCGATAATCAACCAGTAGTACTCAAAACATGAGATCTCCTCGCCTGGCTTGCTGGCACTCGATGAAATGAACTAAAACGTTGGTTGGGGTTCCTAGAAGTATCAGTTAAGTTCTATTGTGATGTGATTTTGTTCAGGTCTTCCGATTTCGTACTTTTCCTTTATTATTCCATATTTTTTTATATTTTGAACGACATATTACTGATTTTTCGAAACTCAATGTTTTGGTTTTGAAAAAGGCTTATGTCAGTTTCCATTTAAATTTGATATGCAATCAAAAAAGCAAGAAAATGGGAAAAAATTCGCTAAAAATTGATTTTTTTTCATTTGTTCAAAAAATGTCTCACTTTCACTTTTTTTGAAATTGCATGAAAAATTGAAAATTTTTATAATTTAAACTTTGTAATTATTGTACCACCTGAAAATACGATTTTTTTCCACCTGAAAATACGATTTTTACAATAACTACAAAGTGAAATCAAAAAATCTCAATATCACCTATTTTGGCGAAAAACATAGCAATTGACGAGTGAAAGACATGTTTCTGCAAGAATTCAGCGATTTTTTAGTCTGCCATAACTCTTTTTCACAAAAAACATCGAAAGAATAATCGAAAAACCAGAAATGTAGGCTCGAATTGACGAAAAATTGTCAAAGTTGCCGGTGTGGATTTACGGTAAACAATGCGCGCATCAGGGATTTCGGAGTGTTGTAGTCGGCCTACCGTATCACACCCATATCGCACACATCGCCCACCCACCCAGAATCCATCTAGGATACGCGCGCATTCGGAACACTCGATTCAGCCTCTCCCGCATCGCACACATATGAGACTCATCGCAGCTCGTTGTTCGCGATATGTGTCAAACAAACTTCTAGAGGATCGCATATGGATCGGGTCCTTTATGCGCATCATCGCCCAGGACCTGTGTCGCCACTACACCACTGCTTGCTGCTTCTTTCCCTTTCCTCAATCTATATAAGAAAGAGGGGAGGCGCGGCGCCCTTAGGGGCCAAATTTGAGCCAAAATTTGAAACTTGTTTCTCTCGAAACTGGTAGCTTTTTAGCAAAATCTGAATATAGATTTGAAAATATTCTCCAAGTTTGGAAATTCTGGAAATTCAAAATTCGAAATGTAATATGGTCGTCCTCGCCCCTACAGTACCGTCTAAAAGGTTGTAAACGATAGGTTTTTTTGGCATAACTATTTTTCGAGAGCCGGTATCGAGTCAAAATGTTAACCAGATGTTTCTAAGAATGTTCGACGGAATGTGACCAAATTTCATACAAAAATAGGAAAAATAAATTTTTTAGGACGAAAAATTGAATTTCCGAAAAAAATCCAATTTTGAACTTAATTTTTCAAAAAATCATAACTTTCGAGAAACGCTTCTATGCAACACATAACATTTTAAAACTAACAAAATTGGTCTAGTACTTTGTTTCAAAGCCATGAGACTCGATAACAGCCTGGCTTCTGCGCTAGATAGAGACATCACAGATATCATGGTCTGCCATGTCTACAAGGATATCCTAGAATCCCAAATTTCCATCAGATTACAAAGCCATGGGTCGTGGGATCATTTTCCAATAGGACAATGACCCAAAACACACCTCCAAATTCGTCAAGGTACAAATGATTCCAATTTTTTCGATAATTTTGGATTCTTGGATTAGCTCTCGAGCCCTAGGATTCGCGTTATGGACTGGCCCAGTCCGTCGAGACTTGAATCTGATCGAAGATCTGTGCGAAAACTTGGAGAAAAGATTTTCAGAAAAAAAAAACCAGAAAATGTGGTCGAGAAGTACCAAAAACTAGAAGAGGAATGTAAAAAGACCTCACAGTCAGTGATCGACACTTTGCTCGACTCTATGCAGCGCAGAAGCCAGGCTGTTATCGAGTCTTATGGCTTTGAAACAAAGTACTAGACCCATTTTGTTATTTTTAAGATGTTATGTGTTGAATATAATCGTTTTTCGTAAGTTATGATTTTTTGAAAAAATAAGTTCAAAATTGAATTTTTTTCGAAAATTCAATTTTCGTCCTAAAAAATTTATTTTTCATATTTTTGTATGAAATTTGGTCACATTCCGTCAAACATTCTTAGAAACATCTGGTTAAAATTTTGACTCGGTACCGGCTCTCGAAAAATAGTTATGCCAAAAAACCTATCGTTTACAAC